AATCGTTTTCAAGAGTAGATCACGGTATGGCAGAGCGTAAGATCCTGAGTGGCAGCCCTTCCTCCAGGGGTACAGAGCGTGCGTGGCTGTCAGCCAGTCGGCATTCCTGCAGCCCCTGACGGAAACCGGAGTTGAACCTGTAGTGCCTGGTCTGGAGGGACGCGTCTCAGGGACACTCAGGGGTACACCTCCTGCTGTGTAGCTCTCCGGTGCATTTGATGAGGTGTCAGGTGTCACGGCTGATGTCTGGCGTGGCATGTCAGGCCTGGCACAACTTGCCTTCTCCGTGTGAGTGCCCGGCCTGCCTTTCCTGTAGACGGCGTCGTCCTGAGGTGGGGGGAATCCCTGCACTGGGTCAGGGTTCCCCATGCGACCTCGGTGGCCTTAGAGGCTGGAGGGAGCAGCTGTTTCCCGTGTTCTCTTCTTAGAAAGAGGAAACCAACTTTTTCAGAAGACACGGACTGACTCTCCCTCCCGTCTTGTTACAGGAGAGGGGTCCCAATCCAGACCCCAAGAGAGGGTTCTTGGATCTCGCACAAGAAAACTCAGGGCGAGTCCGTAAAGTGAAAGCAAGGTTATTAAGAAAGTGAAGGAGTAAAAGAATGGCTGCTCCGTAGACAGAGCAGCCCTGAGGGCAGCTGATTGCCCATTTTTATGGTTATTTCTTGGTGATATACTAAGCAAGGGGTGGATTATTCACACCTCCTCTGTTTAGATCATAGAGGGTAACTTCCTGATACTGCCATGGCATTCGCAAACTGTCATGGTGCTGGCGGGAGTGTGGCAATGAGGACCACCAGAGGTCACTCTTGTCGCCATCGTGGTTTTGGTGGGCGTTAGTGGCTTCTTTACTGCATTCTTTTATCAGCAACGTCTTCATGACCTGTGTCTTGTGCCTACCTCCTGTCTCATCCTGTGACTTAGAAAGCTTTACCTCCTGGGATTGCAGCCCAGCAGGTCTCAGCCTCATTTTACCCAGCTCCTGTTCAAGAGGGAGCTGCTGCGTTTCAAATGCCTCTGACCATCTCAGTGGCCAGACTTGGATCAAGCCCTGGCGGGGAGAAGAGGTTAACAGTGTTGGTTCTCTATTGTGTGTAACAAATCACCACAAACTCAGCAGCCTGAAGCCACACCCGTGTGCCATCTCACAGTGTCTGTGGGTCTAGGCTCTGGGCACAGCCAGATGGGTCCTCGGCTTGGGCCCTCACATCTCACCAGGCTGCACTCCGTCCGGGTGGCTGGGCCACATTCTTATCTAGAGCACAGTTGGTGGCTCAGTATCGTGTGGCCGTGGGACTAAGGCCATTGCTGTCTCACTGGTTGTTGGCCAGGGGCCAGTCTCCTCAGCCCTTAGAAGCTGCCAGGACAGGTGCCCCTGGATATGTGATGGGGTTACATCTCAATAAACCCACTGGAAGTTGAAAATGCACTTAACAGCCTGGGCAACACAGTGAAACCCTGTCTCTAGAAAAAATAAGAAAATTAGCCAGATGCAGTGGCATGTGCCCGCATTCCCAGCTTCTCGGGAGGCAGAGGCAGGAGGATCTCTTTTGCCCAGGAGGTTGAGGCCGCAGTGAGCTGTGATCGTACCACTGCACTCCAGCCTGGGTGACAGAGCGAGACCCCATCACTAAAAATTTTTAAAAGGCCAGGTGCAGTGGCTTATACCTGTAATCCCAGCACTTTGGGAGGCTGAAGTGGGCAGATCATGAGGTCAGGAGTTCAAAACCAGCCTGACCAACATGGTGAAACCCTGTCTCTACTAAAAATACAAAAATTAGCGGGGCGTGATGGTGGACGCCTGCAATCGCAGCTACTCAGGACGCTGAGTCAGGAGAATCACTTGAACTCGGGAGACAAAGGTTGCAGTGAGCCAAGATTTTGCCACTGCACTCCAGCCTGAGTGACAGAGTGGGACTCCATTATGGAGTCTCCCCTGCTCCGCTCTGCTGCGATGAAGGCCCCTGTAAATCACGCTGTCGAGGGAGCCATCCCCTGTCCTTTGCCATATTCTGTTAGTTGCAGGCTAGTCCACCCACACTCATGTCACGGGCAGGGTGCCTGGAGGCAGCCCAGGGTGTGTCAGTCACACCACAATTGGCTAGGACAAATCAAGACCAACTTTTGGAAGTGGAGACAGGGTCTTCTTCCCAGATCACGTTGCGAAGGGGTAGAGTTTCAAAAATTCACAGCTCTCTTGATGAAGCGGGGGAGCTGAATGCCTGGCGAGAGTGTCAGGTATACATGGCTGTGTAACTAAGAATCCCAAAAATCGGACAACTAACTGTCCATCGGGAACAGACAACTATCTGTTCGCAGTTTGAGCTGGGCTCCTGGGGCGGTGCTTCTGCTGGGCCTGGGACCACTTGTCCAGTGATGGTCTTCTGGCAGCTGACCCGTGGCTGGGTGGCCTGAGACGGCATCACTCATGGTGCTGGCCATTGCTCAGTGCCTGTGTTCACATGGCTTCTCTTCGCCCAGGAAGCTAGCCCAGGCATTGCTTTACATGGTGGTCTCCAGGGCTACAACAGGGCCCGGGGTCATGGAAACTTCAGAAGCATAAGAGCTTTTGAAGCTTTGCGTGGAAGGCGGACTGCATCACTTCTTATGTATTCTGCCAGTCAAAAGCCGAGGCGGGCAGATCACGAGGTCAAGAGATCGAGACCATCCTGACAAACATGGTGAAACCCCGTCTCTACTAAAAATACAGAAATTAGCTGGGTGTGGTGCGCTTGTAGTCCCAGCTACTCAGGAGTCTGAGGCAGAAGAATTGCTTGAACCCAGGAGGTGGAGGTTACAGTGAGCCGAAATTGTGCCACTGTGCTCCAACCTGGTGCCTGGTGACAGAATAAAACTCTATCTCAAAAAAAAAAAAAAAAAAAAAAAACAAATTACTCATCCAAGTCAGATTCACTGGGGCGGTGTGGGGAATAGACCACACCCGCTCAGTGGGGAGAGTGGCAGTGTCATATTGCAGAGACATGTGCGAGGGGATAGAGGGTGTGGCCGCCTTTGTAAACCGTCTGGCCTGGTAAGCAAACGACAGAGTCTGTGTCCACATGCATTTGTCATGTCCACAGGCGTGTGTCCAGCAGATTACCGACACAGACACAGAGGAGCCTTTTAGTCCAGAAGAAAAGAATCCCAGAGTCTCAGGGAGTGACTTACGATTTAGGAGAGATTTTTTTCTGATGATTTTCCTTTCCTTTCCTTCTGCCACTCACCCAGGGCTTTATCAAGCGAGCAGCCAAGATGTTCTTGCTTGTCACCCACCTCTTGCTTTATTTAAGCCTATGTTTTTTTTCACTCTTCCATGCAGAGAGAAAAGAAGAGTGTGTTTTATCACAACCTATTCCTAGAAACTCTGTCCTTCAGGGTTTTGTTGTAAAGGGGCCATGAATTCTGTAGAAATAATAAGCAGAGCGGGGTGGGGGGTGGGTTTCCACCAAAGTCTCCACATCAGATAAATCGAAGCTATGACCAGCATCATAAAATAATATACCCAGCTATAAGCATCTCAAATAATTTTAATAAGAACGTTGTTCTGCTCTGAAACAGGAATAAATATGTTATATTTTTATTATAAAACAACCACCAATTTACTACAAAGTGTAAACATAATCTATAAAAATATAATTCTACTGTACCATAAATATTACTATTTATATTGCTAGCTATAAAAGGCACTCAGCATTTAATTAACAATAATTTTGCGAATATGTTTATGTTCCTTTTAAAAAGCAAAAGCCTTGTATATTAATCTTAGGCGTTGCTCCCTTCTTGGAATTTACGTGGGCTGTTGGGGAGTCACCGTGGCGGTGCTAGCTAGGTACGTACCGGGCTTTCCTCGGAATTCTTTCTTCGCGGTGACCCCTCTGCTGTCCCGTCAACACCCTAGGAAGGAGGTATGTGATTACCCCTGACTGACAGTTGAGGAACCGAGGCGCGGGAGGGTAGGAAATTTACCCCCCACCAGGCACATGAAGGGTAGGGGGTGAATGTAAGCCCACGCCTCCTGGACTGGGAGCTGTGCTGTGGACTTACCGGCAAGCGTAAAGAATAATGACTGGCCCCTCCTTTCCCTCAATACCTTTAACAGGCAAAATACTTCCAGCCTTTTTTCCAGTTCTGAAGGGCTTTGCTATTTAAACCAGGTCACCAGGAGCATTCTGTCATTACCGGGCCAAGGGTCTGCGGGCCTTCATCAGTAATGAGCATAACCAGAAACACAGCCGGAAGCTGAGCTGCAGAAGGCAAGGCCAGCGAGGCAAAGGGCTGTTAAACCCCTCCCCACCTTCGTGCCAGGAGCCCCTGGGACCTGGGGCAGGGCTGGCTTTACCGACTAAGTGGCCATCACTCCTTTGCAGATGGGAAATGGGCTCCGAGAGGCTCACTAGCTTGCCCCAGGCCACACAGCTGAGTTAGGTGGTTCAGAAGAATTTGAACCCAGCTCCGACTCTGAAGCACTAGTGCTTTCCAGTGCCCCAGACACCATCATATTGTGAAGACAGGCTTGGCTCTGCACCCCGGGAAGACGACAGAACCAACACAAAGGAAAGCTAGTGGGGCTGGGTGATATCATGTGGGGCTGTGGGCGCAGACCCTGGGGTAAGGCCTAGGTTCACATCTTAGGCTTGGCTCGTGAGAGGGAAGAAATGGTGGATCTGAGCGTCTCTGGGAATAGAGCTGGGATTGCTGATCTCGGGAAAGGAGTCGGTGGCTCCAGTATCTTTCATGTTCATCCCAGCATATGTGTGTGTGTGCACGTGTGTGCACCTGTGTGTGTACGTGTGTGTGCACCTGTGTGTGTGTGCATATATATTATTTCCCACTCAGTCTGAATGTTTGCATTAACTCCCATCCTTCCGAAAAGTCACCTTCTCCAGGCCCAGGAGGCAAAGACAAGATCAGCCACTGACGCAGACACAGGCTCTTGGGCGCATTTGCAAAATCTCCCTTCTTCAGTTATTTACGTCTATGTCTCCTTCCTTTTTTTGCAGGAGTTTGTTCATCTGGCAAAGAGACTGGTCAGTGATCCTGCATTAGAAAAGGAAATTGTAACGAACGGAAAGGTGTACGTGAGAATGTATCATTCATGGCAGGTGGAAAGAGACACCTACCAGCAGCTCATCAGGAAGCTGGAAGGCTGCAGTGAGGACTGAGGACGGGCCTCATCGGACACCTGCTCTCCGACACATGGCTCTGGGTGGACACTCAGAGTCTGGGTCACGTGGGTCCAGTCCAGTTCAAATCAAACCAACCTTAGCAGAATCCTAGAAAACGTTGGTCGTGAGTCCGCAGAGACACTGCGTTCATCCCGTATCTTTCTGTGGTTCAGATGCTGACCCAGGCGGGTTCACCCGCCGGTCCTGCAGGAGGTGCGACTGGGACAGGGAAAGGGAAACTGGTTTCCAGGGAATTTGGGAGAGAATTTGGTTACCTGCTCTAGGGCTTTGGTGCAGACAAGAGAGGCTTATTTTCAGGCAGTCATGGTTCAGGCCCCTCACCTGCCTCCTGACCGACCTGTCCCCGTCATGGCTGGTTTCAAAGGCAAAAGCAAAAAGCAGACGTGTGAGCCAGGCCGAGTCCTAGCAGCGTTTCTGTTGTGATCTCAACTCTGACAGGCATGCGGGTGGCCCCAGTCTTCTCTGAACACTAGAAAGTGCTGCGAGTGAGTTCACGCCCGGCACATGTCACTTTTCAAGGGTGGAATTACAAGTTGTGCCTTTTAGAAAGGCGGCCAGGCTGCTCATAGGCCCCACCCACCTCTTGGCAGAATTTGAGTGGAAAACCAGGTAGAAGCAAACGCCATGTCCCCCGTAGCCTGCAGAATGCTCCAGTGAGCCTGAGATGGAGGCCTGGGGCTTCTGGTTCTGGGGTGGGCCCTTCCCCTTCCCACATCAGGGACCCGGGGATGGGGGTCGGAAGGGTCACCAGCCTCCAGCCCTTGGCAGGACAGAACTCAGGGCTGCAGGGCTTTGCAGCCACCCAGCGAGGTCCTCCCGGGGCCAGCCCCGCCGTCATGGTAATGGAGACCTCTCCCTGTCCATGTCATCTGCGTCACATCAGGACATGCAGTCTTTCCTGTCCTTTGCGATCTCGTGCGGTGTAATTTCATGTTTCATTCTGCTGCCTCCATCACAGAACAGAATCGCTTTCTAGAAAGGCAGTTAACGGGAACTAGCAGGCTCCCGGTGGTGGGACAGCGGCTCAAAAATACCTCCCATCGCCCCTCCTCCCCAAACTTTTTTTCCTCTGAGGGGCCCAAGGGTTACGGCCTTCATGACTAGCTATGGGGACACAGGAGGGAGTGGCAGAGCCTGGGTCCGGAGAGGACAGCCTGGTCTGAATCTGGAATAATTGACGCCACCCACAGAAAAGGCCCTGCAGGTCCGGTGTTGTCTTAGAGCTAATGATGCTGCTGTTTCCAAAGCGCTGATTGTCCGGAAGCTCGAGTCTCTGCCTCCTTGAGTGACCCGGTCGCCGCCTGACTGCCACGGTACCTCCGCACCACCACGTCTTTGTAGGAGAATGTGCACGTGCCCCATGCCCTAGGGAGAAGGGCACGTTTTTAAATTAATAAAAAGTGTCACCATCAGCCATGTGAAAATAGTCTCCATTTCTTCCCACGGTGAGCTGTGCTGGGCAAGGAGTGGAACCCCCCCCACCCCACCAGGCCCGGGCCTTCAAAGGAAGTGCAGACAGTTAAGCATCTAGTTACGAGGGGGTTAGAATGCAGCCACTTTGTGAATAGTCAAGTAAAGATGTAAGACCACGGCTTTTCCGAGAGTGTTCTAGATGGTGTCAGTTTCACGCTCGGTTCACTTTATGTTTAAACATTTATTTATTTTTATTATTATTTTTGAGGCAGACTCTTGCTCTGTCACCCAAGCTGGAGTGCAGTGGCATGAGCTCCACTCACTGCAACCTCTGCTTCCCGAGATCAAGTGATTCTCCTGCCTCAGCCTCCAAGTAGCACCCACCACCACACCTGGCCTAAACATTTATTTATTTTTATTTGTATGTAGTGTTTTTATTCTAATTTGTAGTTTTAGTAGAGATGGGTTTTCACGATGTTGGCCAGGCTGGTCTCGAACTCCTGACCTCAAGTGATCCACCCACCTCAGCCTCCTAAAGTGCTGGGATTACAGGTATGAGCCACCACGCCCAACCTAAACACGTATTTATTTTTATTTGTACATATTAATGGGACACACGTGCAGTTGTGCTCCATTGATATTTTGTGTGGTGGTGAAGTCAGGCCCTTCCAGGCATCTGTCACTGGGCCATGCACATCGTGCCCACCTAGCAGCCTCCATCCTCCCCCCTCCCTCCCACCCTGCTAAGGCCCGGCATGGCACACTCTGCTTCCATGAGTAGACATTATTAGCTCCCACTTATAAGTGAAAAGTTGCAGTATTTGTCTTCCTGTTCGTAACTTGTTTCACTGAAGATAATGATCTCCAGTTCCATCCATGTTGCTGCATAAGACGTGATTTCATTCCTTTTCATGGCTGAGTAGTATTCCTTGTGTTATAGATCCCACATTTTCTTTATCGAGTGCTCCATGGATGGACATTTAGGTCGAGTCCATATCTTTGCTATTGTGAATAGTACTGCCATAAATATATGAGCACAGGTGTCTTTTGGATATAATGATTACTCTTCCTTTAGGTAAAATGTTCAAACATTTTGTGTGTAGCTTTTAGTTTGCTGATGTACAGGTTTGAATGACTCAAAAATACATTTCAAGATAAAACTGAGAAACTATGCCCTTTATATATTGAGGGAAATACTTTTAATAAAAATAGCACTAAGCAAGGTGGTGGTGGCTCACGCTTGTACTCCCAATACTTTGGGAGGCTGAGGCAGGCAAATCACATGAGGCCAGGAGTACAAGACCAGCCTGGCCAACATGGTGAAACTCTGTCTCTGCTAAAAACACGAAAATTAGCCAGGCATGGTGGCACATGCCTGTAATCCCAGCCACTCGGGAGGCTGAGGCCGGAGAAGTGCTTGAACTGGGGAGGTAGAGCTTGCAGAGAGCTAAGATTGTGCCACTTCAGCCTGGGCGAGAGTGAGACTGCCTAAAACAAACAAAACGCTATATATATGCATATATATACACATGCGTGTATGTACATATGTACGCATATGTATGTATAGCTAATATATGCAATATGTATGTAGCTAATAACTCAGTGCTGCATGGCAGAGAGGCATTGCTGAGCCTTGGCCACAGGTCCGAGTGAGGAGTTGAGGCTTACCACTTCTCCTTAAATTCCACTCTTCAGCCCCTTCCTACACTCGCACAGCAAGGCAGTAAGACCGAGTACCTTTTCCACCTTGAAAGGTTCATCGAGCATCTTCAAGTTTGGAAAACCAGCCTGCGTAGGCTCCCCCTTGTCAGTGGGATTGTGTGGGCCCTGTCAGCCTCCTGGCCAGCCCCGCAGATCTGGAGAGACCGCACTCCCCGTGTGCAGTTAAGGATGGAGCTTTGTCAGCGTTGGATGTGTTGGTGACACGTGCTGACTGCCTTCCTCTTTTGGCCTCTGCAGTTGTACTCTGCGTGGAGCTACAGGACCTCTTCCCTTGAAGGGTTCCTGGTGGTTGAACTCGCCTTCTTTACCGTTTATCTGGAGATTCTTATGAGATGGGAGAGCTAGCTCTTCTTATTGCATCTTCCCAGCCTCCACCCTCACTTCGCCTCTCTGACTCTAATGTCATTTTAAAGGGTCTGTCAGTGGTAGGAGCTGATGAGGGAATGGTATAAGCAAAGACCTCCCTACCTGAGATCAGCCGCTCCTGGAAGGGCCGCTTGAAACAGCGGCTCCCAGCCTTGTCTTTAAACCTCTGGATGCTCAGGCGGCATCCCTGACCAAAGGCATCAGACTCTCAGGGGAGACCCAGGCCCGAAGCTCCTGAGTGACCCGGTGTACAGCGGAAGCTGACATCCATTTGAATAGGGACCAGAATTTCGTGGAAAACAAGGACAATCTAAGAAAAGGTTGGATTGTGACTTTGTACTGAAAAATGAACCCCAAATTACGAAAGTAGGTTAAATCTGTCTTATGTTGAACAAAATTTATTCATGTAGGCATCATAGAAACTGAGTACATGGGAGCTCACACCTGTACTCCCAGTGCTTTGGGAGGTCAAGGTGGGAGGATCACTTGAGCCCAGGAGTTTGAGACCAGCCTGAGCAGCAGAATGAACCCCGTCTCTACAAAAAATAACACAAAATTAGCCAGGCATGGTGGCGCGTGCCTGTAGTCCCAGCCACTCCAGAGGCTGAGGCTGAAGGATTGCTTCAAGCCAGGAGTTTGAGGTTGCAGTGAGCTGTGATGGCCCCAGTACACTCTAGCCTGGGTGACAGAGCCAGACCCCGTCTCTATTAAAAAAAAAAAAGAGAGAGAGAGAGAGAAAAGAAAAGGAGTTATAAGGCCAAGATATATTTCTCTTTTCTTTTCTTTTCTTTTTCTTTTTTTCGGACAGAGTCTTACCCTGTCACCCAGGCTGGCGTGCAGTCATGTGATCTCAGCTCACTGCAAACTCCAGTTTCCAGGTTCAAGCGATTCTTATGCCTCAGCCTCCAAAGTAGCTGGGACTGCAGGCAAGCACCACCATGCTTGGCTAATTTTTGTATTTTTAGTAAAGATAGGGTTTTGTCATGTTGGCCAGGCTGATCTTGAACTCCTGGCCTCAAGTGATACGTTCCCCTTTGCCTCCCGGAATGCTGGGATTATAGGCATGAGCCATCGTGCCCAGCCAGGCCAAGAGATATTTCATGCAAATAAGAAACAATGTACCAGGACCTCATCAATACTCTCCACCCCGCCCCCCGCCCCCCGTCCAGAGATTCTTTCTTCTTGTGAAATTGAAGTTTTCTTCTGCAAGGCCTGTCTCTCCTCCTGCTGGGCTCTTCTGGAAACTGGTTAGCCGGTTTCCAGCACTGCCAGAGCCTCACGTGGCCTGTGGACCACGTAATTCTCCAACCTTCATTTCACCAATTTCAGCAAATCCTGCATCTTTTGCAACATTTGCAATTTTGCTTTTCAATGTATTTACATCTTGTTAGTTCTTTAAACATTTTAGACCCTTGAGTCAGGAAGAGGGACTGACTTGACAAATCTAGGGAGAAGTTGTGAGCCTGGACATTGTTATGGAGTGGGACGGTATCAGGATGACATTTGGTTACAGCAGATGGAAGATCCATAATAAACAGTGGCCTAAGCAAGAGGTGCATATTTTCTTTCTTTCAGGAGATTCACCGAGCAGGTATAGGGCTAAGATCCATTCTCCTTCCATCCTGTTCTTCTGTCCTTGGTATGTGGCTGTCTCTACCTCGTGCTGCAAGGTGGCTGCCCATGCTCCAGCATCATGCCTGAATTCATGGCTGAAGGAAAATGGAAGGCAGGAACGAGACATCTTTCCATCCTTTCAGGACAATGTCCACCTCCACTTACATCCCATGGCCACACCTAGCTGCAAAGGAATCTTGGGAATTCAGGGTATTCCAGGCAGCCATGTGCTTGATTGAAAATCTGAGACCGATGACCAAAAAAAGGAAGAATGCATGTTTCAGGGGCAACTTGCAGCTGCAGCAGCTATTGAGATAAGCTGGTTTTAGTGTCTGTGGCAGTTACAGCATCCTGCTTTCTATTAATCACTAAATACTTTTAATGCCACGAAAAGTGTTTCCCAGCAGGTTTTGATTTAGCCTTTAAGTTCACTGTGACGCAGCTCAACATTCCCCCCAAGATCCTCATTTGTAAAACGAATCCTCAGCCAACTGCTGTGTTGATCAGTGCTTCAAACCCTGCGGCTCCTAAATTGAAAACTCAGAGCGAAAGGGTGCATGAGTTTTCATCTGAATCTCCTAAAATGTCCCTCTGTGTTAGGTGAGACAATCCTGGAAAACACAACACAGTTAAATGTTTCGACTGTATAATAATTTTGGTCTCTCTTTTTTTTTGGATACAGAGTCTCACTCTGTCACCCAGGCGGGTCCCACAGACTACCTCAACTCACTGCAACCTCCACATCCTGGGTTCAGGTGATTCTCCTGCCTCAGCCTCCTGAGTAGCTGGG